GAGAGACGGGCCCTCCCCCGGCCGCTTTCCTCCCGGCGCCTCCTCCTCGGCCTCCTTCGGCTCCTCCTCGTCCGGCGCCCTGTCAATCAGAGTTCAGAGGTGGGCCGGCGAGGAGGCCGTGCCAGCGCCGAGGCTCCTGTCCTTAAAGGTGCCTGGCACCGTGTGCCCGCTCCATTAGTCACTTTCCACTTGGCCTCGCCTGCCTCTCCTGGGTTGCGTCCTTGAGGAAAATGTGCCGCCACTTAAATGCAAACGTATAGGATGAACACGAAAAAACTCTGACGGGGTGGGTGCCCCCACACCGCCACCCCTGGTTTTCTCTTGCTGTGACAGGATCACTTAAAACATGCTTTTTTACATCCTTGACCCTCAGGGAAGCTTTGAGAGAAAAAGTTGGCCTGAAAAACTACTAAGTAGTTAGGAAACAAAATCGAGCAGTTAATAGAATTAAAAATCATATGTAATAAATGGCGAATGTAATAATAGTATTTTTTTTAAATCACGGTAGAGTTTAAAAAGAATACTGAACTGTCATTTTTGTTGCCTGAAAACTAAGTTATGGACTATGAAAGTAAATAATGCCGAAGAAAAATCATTAATAAATAAGTTCACCAAATGAAACTAATTCAACATTGCTAGCTCTTCTCCCTGGGGGGAATTAGTTACTTGGCTTAAATACTTAATAAAGAAATACATTATCACAGTCTGGTTCTAGTTTTTAATATAGTCTAATAAGCATTATTAACTGGAAGACGCTAACTGACATTTATTGAATGCCTACTATGCACCAAGTAATTTACATGAGTTATTTTCTGTAATCCCCAAGGCTCTCTGAGTTATGGATTATTATCTCCATTTTACAGAAAAGGAACCCCAAAAGATTAAATAATTTGTCCAAAGTCCACAATTAATAAGCATCGAAGCTGAAATTCAAACCCAAGTGTGGCTTCCTCCAAACGCCTATCGTTCCAACTATACAACCTCAGTCTTGGAGAAATGTGAGCAGAGCTAAGTAGATAGGGATATGTCGACCACCTAGCTTAGAAAGAGGCTCAAGGGACTTAGAAGGAAACATGTTAGAACAAGAGGACTCAAATCAAAGACGGGCAGGAAAAATAATAAATTCTAAAATGCAATGGCATCAGGAAAAAGGCCGGTAAGAAACTCCCAGATGCACCACACATTTGCCTCCAACCTTTTCATTAGGCAAGGGGAGAGGCAAAATCTGACTAGGTACACAGTGACAGCAGCCATAAGATAAAATGGCACCGACTACTTAGAAAAAGCCCAGCATGTTTTGGAGTCTAAGAGATTCTGCACAGCCAGCCCCCTTTGCAGGTGGCAGCGTAAGGAAGGGAAGGCACTGACCTCTACGAACCTCAGCGTGCCTGATCTGCAAAATGGAAGGCAGCCTTGCGAGGGTCTTTGAGACCCTCAAATATGACACTATATTCTGTTCACCAGCCATTATACAAAACAAATGTGGCAAGATAAGGGCCACTTATGAATACATTTCAAAGCCGTTCTTAAGAAGCTACTTGGTACTTATGGGTATCAGGCCATGCTATAGGGTTATTATAATTATATTACTTAATAGCAATTGTTTTATTCACATACGTACACCAACTTGTAAATTTTTAAAAAATAATTATTTATTTAATTTTATTTATTGTTATTATTATTTTTTGATTTGACCAGAGAGAGACAAAGAGAGAAAGGGGAAAAGTGAGAAAGCAAGCCATCAGGTTCAGGACTCAAACTGCAATCAGTCCGGTGGGAAGTCAAGAACCTCAACCACCACGCCACCTGCTGGCCACGAAACATTTTTTTATATTATTTGTTTTGCATTCATTCACTGAACATCATCACAGCATGCAAGATGCAGTTTCCCATCCAGAATACACTGTGTAGGGCTTAGTCATACATGTTATCATCACAAATCATTTTCCATTTCTTGGTTCATACGTATATGTGTGTGTATGTATATATATATATATATATTTATAAATATACTCCACTCCTCATTTCTCACCCTCCATCATATCCCACCCTCCTCCCACTCTCTCTCTGCAGTTGCTTTCCATTACTCTTTTTCTTTTCTCCCACATTTTATTGATTAACAAAATATCTTAAATGATCTAGCTACTTTCAATATTAAGTTCCAGGTAACTAGTATCTGAACAGAACCCTAACCTGCTTCCTGGCTTTAAATCTTAAGCAAAGTTCTCTTAACATCTTTTCATTTTGATTTATTAAAGCTAAAACTGCCTTTCTTAAAATTAAAAAACATATTTAAAAATACCTATTTAATGA